CTTACTTCTTTCCAAACTTAACAACACTACCCGTTAGCATTTGGGTGAAGAACTGCAACGCGTCTCTGCCGTGAAGATCATAGCAGAAATGCTAAAAGAAAAAAAGAAAAGATTAAAAAAGAAGTGACAAACGTCCTGATCTAGAGAAATATCTCAGGATGTCTCACCTGCTCTACCAGTATGGCGTGATGGACTTTTCCTTTTTTCTGAAGTGACGTCACAAACCCTTTCATGTTGGTGGATCCCATGCTATCCTCCAGTAAATCTGCCTGTATTAACAAACATGAGAAACAGTTCAACGGTTGCACACACAAGAATACTGTGTACAATATGTGTGTATGTGTGTATGACGTACCTGTCTAACAAAGGACTTTTTCAGGCCCTCGTGGCCATCTGCCCAGATCTTGGCATAGCGGCGGACGGTGAAGAATTTGTCCTGCACAGGGGACAGCGCCTGACCAATCACTTCACTCAGTTTGTCATGGGGCAGACTCTCATAGGCTCCACTCACATCCACCTAAAATGCAGGGATGAAGAAAAATAGCATTTAAAGGCACAATGAATAGGTTTGTTGGATGCTTTTTGTAAAAACATCAAACAAATAAAGTGGGGTCTGATTTACAAGCCCTGATTTTATGGAAGATGGCTGGACTCACACAGTATTCAAGCAATAGGACAAATTGATTAACATTATAACATGTTAGTTTAAAATCAAACTAATCTTGCTAATTTTGCCTTTAACAAAATACTTTTGTATTTGTTTCACAGTTGTAGGTGTGCTTAATAATATTACAATGCTGGAGTAATCACAAAATGTATACATTTTATAAACTGTATATGATAAATATACATAAAAGACATGACTAATATGTTGTCAGCTTCTGCCAGTACAATAAACAAACTGGCAGACCAAAACCAACCTTCACAAAGTTGAGGGTTTGTGGCTCCTTCTTCAGGGCTGGAGCTAGAGAGCGTAACACCCTGTGGATGTCTGTCATCCCCATCACTGTGGATCCCAGTAGGGACGGAGAGGCGCGTACACAGGCCCCCAGCATGTCCAGCAGGTCTCGGACCTGCCCCCTGTAGAGCTGCAGGGGAAAGAGAAATGCCCTAAATGCAAATGATCCCAACTTGTAATAACACACAGCTTATGGACTTTTAAGAGAGAACTTGAATGTCATTATCAAGATGTACCCTTGTTTTGGCATCTGCTCCAATGACTCGTGTGATAGGCCTCATGCTATCAGTTTTTGGAATGAAGCGAAGGCGAGATGTGACGGTGGCTTTGGGGAGAGATGCCACCTGAGCCGGAGTCATCTCCTCCATCTGACCTTTGGAGAGGTGAACCCTAAATCACAAAAATGGTTGTGAGCTTGTGTGTCCAGTGATTACATGAGTAAAAACCTTTGCAGGTGTGTGTGTACCTGAAGGCTAAGTCCTGCAGTTTTGCCCAAACTTCCGATCTGTAGAACCTGAGGGCGTTCTTCTGGCCCGCGCTTTCCGTGACATAGAAGCAAGCTCGAACAAGGCCCACAACATAGCCGTCCAGAAGCCAAGCCAGGAACTGACCCAGGATCTGTGTCCGATATAAGAGCTCACTGGGAGGGCACCTGCCTGCGGATAAGAGTGATGTAGTTACAACGGCCAAAATGTAAAGAAGAACAATTTGAACCTACGATAAGCTTACCTGTTTTACTGATCTTCAACCAATCACAGTCATTCACCTTCATCTTCCACATCAGTTCAGAGAGTGAGAGCTTCTCAAACTTGCCACTGCGCAAGAAGCCCCTCACCCTCAAGAAGAAATGTAGTCGGTTGTGGTCGGAGCCCCACAGCTCCTGAGGGATCACAGTGGAGAGGCATTCCCTGACAAACAGGTTGACCCGGTGAGGTGCACAGTGTTGAGGCAAGAGGGAGCTTAACTCCCCTTGTCCTGCGTCTCTCTCCGCCACCACTGGACACACCCTCTGCAGTATTCTGCTGTAAGGACATCTCCTGTGTTGACGCAACAGCTGACTGAGCAGGGAGACCATGTTAGAGAAGCGCAGAGGGACTTGCTTTGGCTTCCTCTCTATCCCGTTTAAGTACGGCAGTCCCTCAAAGAAGATAGTTCGTACCAAATCTTGCCCTTGCAGCCTTCTGCATTCATTAGCACTCTTTTTCTTCCTGTTGAGAATGAAGCCACGCATACCCCTTCCGCCATACAGAAATCCCAGTGTGCGGATAAAACATTGCGAGGGAGGCAGAGGGGGAAAACTCCCCGTTCTCCAACTGGGTCCTCCCTCCATGGGCATTGTGCTTGTCTGCAATTCAACAGTCTGTTTGGAACCTGTAGGGCCATTTTCCAAAGGGTTTACTGATAGTGTTGTTACCACAGATATGGGCTGCTCTTCCTCCACCGGTTCAATACAAACCTGTTGAATTTCCTTTGTGGGCTCTTGCTTTGCTACTCGTATCCTCTTTCCTGAACGTGTCAGAGACTCTTCCTCCTCCTTCTGATCAGTTTCTCGCTTTCTTTTCCCCTTCATCACACTTTCATTCCTTCGGTTCATCGTTTTGCTGCAAGTAGGCTTTTCAACACCCCGTCTCTTTTTGTAAGTCACTGCCCTTCGATTCCTTCCAGACTGAGCATCGCTATTCTTCTGAGACCCAGGCTTAAGAAGAAACCGGTTGGTAGCATTAGACATGGACACCCTGTCATAGATTGGAGCGCCGCACAACTGGAATACACATGATGGAGGGACTTCCACAAACACAGAGCAGCTCTCCAGCAGGTACCGTGTGAGGTCTGTGCCAAGGCGTAGTGCGACTCTCTTCCACATGTCACTTCCATGAATAAAGGCAGCACTTTGAGTTAATTCTCCTTGGAATTTAAAGGGGTCTGCATCCCGCTTCTCCTGAGCCAGCGCCTGAAGATTGTAGCCATATGCCAATATGTTATTTTTTCTTTTTCTTTTCAGACTGTTAAGAACGACGGCCAGCAGTTCATGTAGAGTGCAGATCTGTGGGAAGCATAAATAACATAACAGGGTTCATCAGAAGTGTTTCTCATTCAGTTATAGCAATAAATGTTCCTTCCCTTTTAAATAAAAAAAACATATAAAATCCAGTCTCTTGTAGACCTGACGGCTTATTGGTCTGAGCATCTTTAAAATAGGGAATTATAACTCAATATTTATGTCTTAATCTAAATTTGGCATGCAACACAAGTGAGATAATCGACCAAACAGCTACTGAACCATACATTTCTCCTCATAATCCCTATTTATGTTATTATAAAAGTCCACAATAAAATGATATATTGTTGTACTTTTGGTAATATTTTGATTGCGGGACTTTAACTTGTAACAGAGTATTCCTACACTCTGGTACTCATACTTTTAAGTACCAGATCTGAGTACTTCTTCCACCTCTGATATTAGCTTCTTGTCTGCACTGCCATGGAATAACATAACATTAAAACCGTTATGACAGTTAGCCCGACAGCTAGCGTTAGCAACAACTGTTACATGGTTTTACAGAAGTCAAGTTTTGTTAACTACATGTCAACTCTCGGAAACTGAAATGCCAGGTAATTTTTAATTAAAGTTACCTGGTTGAAGCTTGGCACTTGCTGTAGTTCCTTGTCAAAGCACACAATAACACCCTGGACGAAGGACTTGAAGCGGTTTGTGTCAGACTGTTCAATCAGCACTGCTTTCTTTCCTTCTCTGAACACGATGCTGTTCGCAAACTCCTCCAGTGTCTGTGTGTGAGGATACAGAAACCGGAGAATGTCCAGCGTAGGAGACATATCAGTCGTAGACATACCGATGGTTGATGTGGTTATCATTCAGGACATGGTGAAATATGGGTGAAATTCAACAGCGGTTAGCATTAGCACTTCGAGGTTGAGCTTTATTATGCCGTTGAAGGTCCCGCGTCACCCTCAGCCAATGAGAGTTCAGTTTACTGTAAGCGTCCAATCAGAAAGCCCCAAACTACAAAGTCCGAACTCACAGTTGACCAATAGCCAACAAGAAAAGGCATGTTGTCTTTTTTTTCATGAAATGTGACAGTTCAGCGTGCGAGGAAAAAAAATAAAAAGGAGTATTAGGCGAAAATATTATAGAAATATTAATCTAAAATGGTTTAAATGTCTTATACTCTAAACATTTTGGTCTGACGTGGCAATGTTAGGCCTTCGAGTCAAAAAATAAGAGTCGTTTTATTGTATTATACCTACTACAACTACAAGCCTAAATGTTCTTCCAAACTGGGGTCTCACAGAGATCTGGATTAAACTGCCTGCTTTAACCACTTAAATATAAAGCAGTTTGAGCAAGCAGGATTGGATTAAATCACCTATTTGTTGTCCCTCGGAGGTGGGGTGTGTCTCATTTAGGCTGGCAAGGGCACACAAGTGGGAGTGGTCAGAACAGTAAAATATTATAGCAACTCAAAAATATTGTTAGACAGGTGCACAACTTTCAGAGCAATTGAAAGTACAATTCTTATAAATGTTGTCGTATCCACAGAATACAAGGCTAAGCAGAACAACATTGTGTGAAACACGCACAGACACAGAAATGACTAAATATATGAGTTAGTCAAAATAAATGTAGAAATACATTAAAGATATGAGTGTTCTGTTTTGTTCTCAACTTATATATTATTATTTAGTGTTTATTTATTCCTGTATTTATTTTGTATTTATTTGTTACTTATGTCATGTTCTGTCCTCCATAACTGTGTGCTCGTTGAGTGCATAAAGGTACATATTCACTCAAAATCACAGCAAGACCTATATTTGGGCGTTCATTGTTTTTAAAACACATTGGTGGTCTAGAGGTCTATGCATTTTTGTTCATGCAGGTGCTCGAGGTTCAACACCCAGGGGAGGGACATCTTCTGTCTTCTGCTATGCTGATGTTAAATATGGAGAAATTGTCCCCACCACTTTTCTAACAAAGTGACGCCCATGAGAGATTGACATTCCTTCGTCCCACTGGGTGATGTGGTCAGCACGGCTCCCTTCTGCTGCCCTCTGTTGGTCCGCAGCCTTTATTTATACAGTCTATGGCCCGCACGAGCTCAGCTTTAGTGCTCTGATTCGCTGAATGACTGCCCTCCCGCTTGGAGAGAGCGCGCGAATGCACCCACGTCTCTCACAATCGGCTGTTAGCTAGCTGTTAGCTTAGTGTTGTTCACTCTGTGCTTTTAACAGCACCGGGGCTCTGCTGGCACACAAAAAGGAGGACCTAAGGCAAGGATTTTTGGCTCAACATCTCAATTATCCGTAGGTTTCTGTGGACTATCAGCTGGTTAAGAAACCTGCAATGGCGGACAAGGAAGGTAAGTTGATATATTTTATTGTTTTTTGTTGTTATCTGACATGTTTTAGCTAGCATTAGCTACCTGGTTAGCTTTGGTAGCAGCTAGCTGCTGTAGCGCAGAAGCCATAAGCGGTAATAACAAAAGCCGGGTGCATTTGCTTTTTGTATGCTGTAACAATGTACGTTTTAGTTTACAGTTGTTGTTTTCACACCGCTTGGCGTACCATACATCATATTTGCCATGGAGGCCGTAGCTCGACACAGTTAACGTAAAAAGTAACGTGTAGGTGAACCCTAGCAAGAACATAATCATGATAGCATGGTAAGCTAACTGATGTGTTTGTGAAAACATGATCCCGTACTGCTACGTTCTGAACACTAGTCAGGCCATGATTTTTTTTGTATCGTCTGCAAATGCAAGCGTATACAGCTGTTAATTAAGTTCCATAGTATAACCTTTCATTTGTGCCTTGACTTTCTGAGATACACTGGCGGTTTCCATGATGTTAAACCTTCATAAACAGTCAATGGAAGCTATACATTCATCTTTCAAGGGTTGTTTTAATGGTTGTTTTCCAACTATTTCAAAATGCACTAACATATTTTTGTAATCACTCTCAGTAGGAGCATTTGATGATGCGGTTGAGGAGAGGGTGATAAATGAGGAGTACAAGATCTGGAAGAAAAACACCCCCTTTCTGTATGACCTGGTTATGACCCATGCTTTAGAGTGGCCAAGCCTAACTGCCCAGTGGCTGCCTGATGTTTCCAGGTACATGCTTTTACACACACATGCCAACATGCACTCAACTGTTGTGTATGACAATAATAATCAAGAATTGTTCTCCTTGTTCCAGGCCGGAGGGGAAGGACTACAGTGTGCACCGTCTGGTGTTGGGCACTCATACATCAGATGAGCAAAATCACCTAGTCATTGCCAGCGTTCAGCTACCCAATGATGACGCCCAGTTTGAAGCATCACATTATGACAGTGAAAAAGGAGGTGGGTTACCGGCTAAGTAAGTGTCAATGACAGGCAGTTACAGTAGTCCATTTGTTAAAAGTGACAAATGAATGTGTTTGTTGCATATAACATAGTTTTCTTTGGTTCAAGGGACCACTGGAGAAACCATTCAGGTGTTCTTGGGTGAATTGTAGCTTCTTTTTTGTTTAAAACACTTTTTCTTTGTTTCCCCTCAGAGTTTGGAGGCTTTGGCTCAGTGAGTGGCAAGATCGAGATAGAAATCAAGATCAACCATGAAGGAGAGGTTAACCGTGCCCGCTATATGCCCCAGAACCCATGCATCATCGCCACCAAGACCCCCACCTCTGAAGTGCTGGTGTTGACTACACCAAACACCCTTCCAAACCAGGTATGTAGCTCACACACAGCACATAACACTGCTAAAGGTGACATTTTGTTTTGAAATTAAAGTGACTTATGGAAAAGTGTTTTAATTGTACTGCCTCTTTACACTATCTGCTCTTTACACAAACTATTTATAAATGCAATTGTCAGCAGATGCTTCTGGAGAGTGTCACCCTGATCTTCGTCTCAGAGGCCATCAGAAAGAAGGCTATGGTCTTTCCTGGAATCCAAATCTGTCTGGCTCTCTCCTTAGTGCTTCAGATGACCATGTAAGAGAACATTCAGGTTTTATTGCTATTGCATCAAGAAGCTTCCCATAACTTAGTCGTTTTATTAGGTCACCAAATGTGTTTTTATCTGTTTGTGTTTTAGACAATTTGTCTGTGGGACATAAGTGCTGTGCCGAAAGAGGGGAAGATCGTAGAGGCAAAGACCATCTTCACTGGTCACACTGCTGTGGTGGAGGACGTCTCATGGCACTTGCTGCACGAGTCACTCTTCGGATCTGTAGCCGATGACCAAAAGCTCATGATGTAAGAAGCCTGATAACAAGTCAAATCTGACGGGAGCAAGGAGGAAAATTCAGCAGAAAAAATATTTGATATTGCATCTCCACAGTTGTTGAATTTGTCTTGTTTCACCTCAGTTGGGACACTCGTTCAAACAACACCTCCAACCCAGCCATGCCGTCGACGCCCACACAGCAGAGGTCAACTGTTTGTCATTCAACCCTTACAGCGAGTTCATTCTGGCCTCCGGCTCTGCAGACAAGGTAATGTAATATTCCACTCCATCTTAATTGTTGCTATTTAGATTGATTTACAGCATGTGGTTTAACTCCATGAAATCACATGCATTTAACTCATTGACTTTGCAACTACAGTGTGTGAAATCTCTCTCTCTTTCTCTCTCTTGCTCACAGACTGTGGCTCTTTGGGACTTGAGAAACTTAAAACTGAAGTTGCATTCCTTTGAGTCGCACAAAGATGAGATCTTCCAGGTAGGATATTTATCAATCATGACACTTTATTGAAATGAAGTGTGTGCAAATCTGTACGGTCAGTTAAATGAAAATGTAACAATTGTGCAATTATAAGTTCTAGTTATCAGAAAACATGCTTTCCTGTTTCATGGAAGACTTTCTGTTATATATGCCAAAAAGTTATCATAAATCCGAAGTATCAACACCTAATATGTGTGATTTGCTATTCCAGGTTCAGTGGTCACCTCATAATGAGACCATCCTGGCATCCAGTGGAACAGACCGCCGTCTCAACGTCTGGGACCTCAGGTAAACAACTTACCATCTTTCCCCTGATGTCCACACAATTCAGCTGTGTTGCATTCAGGCTCCTTTGCGCTAACCAGAGATGATCTCCTTCATGTGGGGGGGGTTTGTCATACTTGAACAGACGTTGGAAATAGTTCATCTCTTTTGTTTTGCATTGTTTTTTGTAGTAAAATCGGAGAGGAGCAGTCACCAGAAGATGCAGAGGATGGCCCACCCGAGCTACTGGTGAGTCTCATTGAAGCCTGTTGAACTGTAGAAGTTGAGATGATCTATTATTGTTCACATCAGCTTGTATAATGGTAATAAACATGGGGGCTTTTTCTTCTATCTTCTAGTTTATCCATGGAGGCCACACAGCCAAGATCTCTGACTTCTCCTGGAACCCCAACGAGCCCTGGGTCATCTGCTCGGTCTCTGAAGACAACATTATGCAAGTCTGGCAAATGGTAAGACAGCTGACACTCATTTTTATTGAATTGCATCTTTGTAGGGACAGGCAGATAACATGACTACTCCTTTGTTTTATATTGTAAGAACATGTGGAACATAATACATTCTGCAGCCACATGTTTTGGTCACAAACAGCAGGCAACTCTGCTCTCCGGTTTCCATCTCTCATACCAAAACTAAAACGTGAATCAGAGCAGGCTTCAAAGAATTTTCAGGGAAATGTGGTGTGATACGAAGTTCCTGACATTTTCACTACTAACTGCAAAGAGAAAATCTCAGTCAAGATCGATTCTTGATTTATCATTTGGAATGATTCAGTCAGGGAAAAGTGAGGAAGCCGAAGAGAGGAATGGTACGTTTACTAACCTAATTGTCTTGCCCTTCTTTCACTTCTGTCTTTTCTGTAACACTGAACTGTGATAATAGTCAGAAAAGCTAAAGCTGAGCAGTATTCCAGCAGGGCTGTGCAGTTAATCGTATTTTAATCTCGATTACGATTTTGGCTTGCAACAATTACGAAAAAAACGTAATCGAAATAAAACAATTATTATTTTTATTTAAAAAAAATGTAATTGTTTTTTTTTATTTTAATTGTTTTTATTGGTTTTTCAGTTGAATTATGCTTAAAGTTCAGGGTAATCAACTGTTAAAAACATACTGTTCACATTTTTTTTTCCAATAAATTGATGTTTTCAAAGTAAATGGATAATCGTTTTTAATAATCGTGATATCAATTATTGACCAAAAATAATCGTGATTATGATTTTTGCCATAATCGCACAGCCCTAGTATTCCTACTCCTTTCTTTTTTAAATGTGGCTCTTTGAAGCTTCAAAGTTGATCTATTGCTCTTTGTTGTGGAATCAAAAAGATGACGTTAATACATCTTAAGGACCCGTGGCTAACTGACTAACACACTGATTCTCCATTTTAGGCTGAGAACATCTACAATGATGAAGATCCGGAGGGTTCGACAGACCCCGAGGCCACAGTGTAACTTCTCTCTGCTGTGTGTCTTAAACTACAACCGTATCACAAACTGCCAACAGCCACCTCTGTACTTCCATGCAGCTACTTATCCCTCCTTCCTTTCTCTATTATACTTAGGGAAAGTGTATGCTGTAAATCCCTGTAAATACAAGTAAGATAATAATCCTGTAACACCTTTTTCGAATACTTATAGTGAAGAACTCTCCTTAAACTGAGTAACTTATTGCCCGATGGATCTCACTCGGGTTTTTCGCATTGCCTATAAAATATATATTTTTGTAATGAAATTGGCTCTCCCTTGTGTACTGAAATGAAGCGAATGCTTTTTCGATTATAAATTAAATGCGTTTCAAGAACCTAAGATGGTGATCATACTGTAAGCCTACAACAAGTGGTCAATTCACAACAACCTGTTGTCAAAAAAAGTCCCTCGGACATATTGCAGGAAAGTTAAATGTATCCAGCTTTTTGACAAGATGAACATCCTAATTACTGTTACTTCTAAAGAGGCCAGCCTAAAAATGTTTAATATTTTCCCTGCTTCAGTTTGGTCATCACCTACTTGTTCTGGATTTTCACACCAGCTGCTTCTCGATGAAATTACTATTTTAGAAAATAACATTTGTGTTTTGAAGTGTTCATTTGTCCTCCCACCTCCCCTCACCCTAGTCATATATTAATCACTTAAATGTCGTGCTATAGATTAGTGCTTGAACTTTTTTAATGTTCAATATTTTGTATTGTACAGTGATTGCATTCTTAATAAAATGTGTTGGTCATTGGGTGCGCTTCGTCGACATCTCTCAGTATGAATGTGTTACTTGCATATTTCATTTATAGGATCAGCGCCCTGCTAAGCTTGGAAGTATTTAGTAAACAATCCTGAGTTACACCTCATGAAACTTTATGTGTTGGTTGTGTGTGATGTGTTGGTGCTTTCCTGTCTGCCGTACGTACTCTCACTCCATTACTCTTTGTCCCATTGTTTAGATCTCCATCCAGGTTGCCCTTATAAGTACATGATCCCCTCATCTCGCAGACATTAATCGTCAGTCGCACTTGGATTACAACCAACACAAAAGCTTTATTCATAAAAAAACGTTCTACAAGCTGCAGCAGTTAATCTTCACAGACTGTTCTAAAACCTACTGCATTCAATGTGTGTAAAGTGCATTAATTGAATCTTGAAGTTCACTATGTTGCTAAAAGAAAAACTAACAGTTTGTTATAAAATCATGTTTTCTCCTTGTCTTCACACTTGTTAACGTCCTCAATGGCTGCCCTGTAAGAAAAATGTTTTTCAATTAGAGCCGTTTCAAATGTTTTTTTTATTTAAATAATTGATACTGAATACCAAATCGTACCTGTAAAGGAGTAGTTGTTTGGTAAGTCTGTCTCTCAGCTCTTCCGTCTCTTTGGTTTTTCTCTTCTGAATCTTTAACTCTGTCTTCAGCTCTCGGCTGCTTTCCTCCAGGAAGTACACTGTCTCCTGTAAAAATAGCACAGCGGCGTATTGCTTTGTTTGTCAGATGACTCTGCCTTAAGTAATGCACAGGGTTTGTCTTCTACCTAAGAAACCCCCATTTAGATTATTACCCTCTCTCTCTCTTGCACATTTTACACCCATTTACCATCTTGCTTACCTTGTACTGCCCCATATCCTCTCTCCTATGTATGCAAATCAGTTTGAGTTTCTCCTCTAAGCAAGCCCTCTGGAGACTCAGCTTTTGGATCTCCTCCTTTAGGGGTCTGAGCTGGGCCCTCATCTCTTGGGCCTGCTCTCTGGCTTTCACCAGGGCTTCCACTGTTGTCTCCCTTCTCTTCAGCATCGTGAGCAGAATGGGTTCATACCTGGCCGAGACAACCATGTACAGATAAAAGAGATCAGACACGAAACATCTGCGTTTAAAGTGTTATTAAAAGTAAAGTAACTATCATGACCAGTACTAAACGGAGACGGCACCTGTCCTCCAGTGCTTTTAGTCCAGCCTGCAGATACTGCTGGATGTCTCCACAGGAGTGCCTCTTGCTCCGGTTCAGCTCATCCTGGGTGTTGGAGGTCTGACTTGAGCTCTGGGCATGAAGCCCCTTCAGCTCTAAGAGCCGTTGATTCTGCGCTGCCCTCAGCTGGGAGCACCCTTCAGTCAGCTGGAGCACAAGCGACTGCAGCCTCTCCTGAAAGATGGGAATACAAATATTTTTACTTCAAGGCTTCGTCTGAGATGTGTTGCACATATTAGGACTTTTCCTGAGGAATTTCTTACCTCCTCTCTCTTTATTAGCTCCACCTCACGGTGCTGTGTGTTCAGTGCGGCCTGGTTGTGAGCGCAGTCCCTAACCATGGAGAACAACCTCCTCTTCAGCTTTCTGAGCTCGTCATGCAGCCCCTGCCTCTCCAGGTTAACCTTCCACAGCCTCCGCTCCTCCTCTGCTCTCTCGTCCCTGAGGCTCTGAATCGCTTTCTTCCTCTCCTCTCTTCTCCCTTCTTCCTCCCTCTTCAGTGCCATAATCAGCTCTGCCACCTTGCTTTCAATTTGTTCTTCTGTTTCCTCTTCATGGATCACCTTCGCCTCCTCAGTGTCTTTATTCCCTCTCAACTCCAGCACCTCCATCAGTAACTCCTTTCTCCTCTTCTGTAACTGCTGAACCTCATCTATACACTCCTCCATCTGACACCCTATTGCGCTAAGTTCATTCATGCCAGTTTCCAGATCCTCCTGTCTCTCTTCAGCAGGCACTTCCGTGTTGTCTACTTCAATCCCAGTTATGTCTGATGTGTCGGATGTGGCTTTATTAGTAGTTTCATCGCCTCACAGTACATGGGAGCATTTTCTTTACTCTCAAATGGCATTGATGGCCCTGAAACCTCCGCGTCTTGCCATTCAAGGGTTTCCATTGAGAGGCCACTCTGGTTTCCATTTGCTGCTGAACCCACTGTTTCTTCATATCTGCTTCTCTTAGAAGGTTTATCTTCCTCCAAGTGTTGACCAACCAAGGATTCTAACTGCATCGGCTGGGTTTCAAACCTCATTGGGCTTTCTTGCTGAATGGGCACCAGTGTTGTACCCCGATGAGGATTCTTACTGATGTGTACATACTCTTGGCTTGCTTCTGTAGCCCAGCCTTGGGGCTCAAAATCCATCCCAGACTCTTCCATACAGCTCTCCAACATAGCCAACATCCCCAACAGCTGACCCTCGTACGCCACCATGGTTTCACTCAGTTTATTTCCTGCTGAAGTGAGAGGCATTGTTTTGGTGAGAATCTTCTGAGGTCACTTGACACCTGTCAAGTGGTGCCCAACATTTGCGACTGGCCTTGTGCTGGCTGGTCTTCTGTTCCAGACCCGTCCATGTGTGTGTCAATGTAGCTTGTGGAAAGATATGCTTGGGGAGAAACTATTGTTTCCCCGTAGCTCTCTACTTTGACTTCCTCTCTGCTGTGGCTATAAGATGTTTCGGCCAGGGTTGTTTCATTGAATCGAGAGCCAAAAGAGAGACCAGTGAGTTCCTCACAGCTCTTCAATAAGCCATCCATCTCCTGCAAGTATGGCTTGATTAAAGATGATTGATTCAGCTGTGGTCCTGCGAAGGTGAGTCCAGATTGTGCCATGTTGAACTCTCTTTGTTCCATGAGGGTTATGTTCGGATCTTCATCCTCTTCTTTAATGAAAAGAGGCCTGACCCCAGGTGATGACATGTTATCGTCCTCCATTGGTTTTGCCTTGTTGTAGCCACTTCAGTGAAAGAGTCTCCTTTACAACTGTCCCATCCCTTAACAAAAGCACATGAATAGGTTAGTATTCCTAGCTAATACATATTAAACATGGTAGCTGTAGGTCAAGGCGGTCATGTTGCGAGTCAGAAATACTCAGCCTGCGTTAATATTTTGGCCAGACAGCTGTGTAAGTCATGCTGATGACACGTAGAGGTGTGCAAGGGGGCATTTTAGCAGATGGTAAGCTACTAGCAGCTGTCCTGGAAGGCTAGATGCCCACAGGGACCGACTGAATGCTTGGCAATGATCTGAAACACACCTCAAACAAGCCTGCTCATGCATCTACATGAACACCGCAGGACTACTTAAATAAACACATACAAAACTAACAAGTGGCATAACACAGATTACATTGGAAAGCATATTATCATAACATGTCACACCGCAGATGGATGGGCATTTGAGCGTTTCCCTGGTGACTAATGAAGCTGTAATTTCACCCTTTGAGGTGTTTGCCAAAAACTATACAGAGACTCTCAAAGGGTAGATTGATCAAATTGACCCAATACTGTCATAAGTACCTATTAGTAACGTAGAAAGGGCATAGAAAACAAGTGTGATTTATTCGATAGCAGCTGTTTCTTCGCCAAAACTCTTCTAAACCAAAATTCAAGACGCATCTTTGTGTTAAACAAGGTCACATAAAAAAATAATGCTGAGTACTAAAACCTACTGGAATGGATGTTGTTGTGCTATGCAAGGCTGACTAAAGCCCTGTGAAAGTCATCAGCTGTCTTGCTGCAGGACAGGCACGGGCACAAGTCACATTCCTTTAGACCTCCGGCACCCAAAACAGCACTGGCCTATATTTGCTGAGCATTAAGAACACGTATTTCCACTAATCATCATATAAATAGTAACTTTCTTTCAAGCCTCATGGGATACATGTATTAATTTTATAAAAGCTACATTAGTTCACAGTTTAAAAGCGGCATGAATGGTAGTTCGCTTTTGGATTTTCTTCATGAGTTTCCATTCAAATTTGATCAGACATCATATGTAAACATGAAATCATAATTCACTTACTTTGAGTGAATATTGTCGTTTCTTCAGCCTTTAGGCGTTATCCTCGACGTGAATTTTCCGAAGTGAGTTCAGGTTCAAACCCCAGCAAAGTGAGCGGCAAAGAGTGAGCGGGAGCAGTGTGTGCATGAATTTGGCAAAGGGGGGGGAGTAAAGACAGTTGACCCAGCCTCCTCGCTCTCAGTCACTGTGCTGCTATGTGTGACCATGACTACCTCAATTCTGTTTAGGTTTATTAATAAACACTGGCTGGCAACCCGAGAGACATGAAGGATTGTCTCAAAATGGACCTCTAAGAATCTTACTGAACCCCGGGTAACCATATGTCACAAGTTTCTTTTTGTATAATTTATCCCACTATCACAGGGATTTCAGATTAAACTGAAGGTGAATTTAAACCTAAAATTGAATAATTGACTGAAAATTTGAAAGCATTTTAACGCTGGATTGCCAGATTGACTGGTGGAGTTACAGCTGGATGCATTTATTATGGCTGTTGAAAGTTGGGTGTGTGTGGAGGCTGTTTATGATGTGTGTGTATGTTTATGATGAAAGACAATATGCCTCCAGCAGTCCTTCCATGCCTCCTCATTATCGAGTCTTAAAATACTTTAAATAGCACCCCTCACTTTTCTGGCCACTTCCTAAGGGAGGATTGGTTTCAGCCTAAACTTCTGACCCCAACAATGGACCACAGGTGGTCTTCTGTAGTCTGAGGGAGAGGGCAGCGAGGATGAGACAGGCCTGTCAAAGACATGGAAACATGTGGCAGATGTAAGGGGAAACATTTTCCAGGGATAAAGGAGGAGATGATGGACTAGGTGGAATGTTGAAAAAGAGACATCAGTGGAAAAACTGCGACCTGTACATTTTTGCTCTGAAAACATACTTTATCTTAAATAATAATATTTTATTATTCTTTGACATCCCTTTTATTGATTATACATATATGTTTTTGCCTTACTTCCTATATCATACCTTT